GAGGAAGAAAACACCGGAAAATGAATGATGACTTATCTCCAAGAACAGGGCAACTCAGGACAAAAACAAAACAAAACAAACAACAAGCTAAAGTTAGGGTTAAAAATTTACTTTAGTCTTTCCCATGATCACAATGACTTTAAACCAACCAGCCTATTACAACTAGAAATTAACACTAATATTCATGATCCCAAATGTTACCCACCCCCAGGGAATCAAAAGACTGGTTCTGCTTCGCATATTAGATATTAGTCTTAAGGAGGTAAAAAAAAAATAAAAAATCAAGAGAATAAAAACACATTGTAATCTTTATCTCACCGGAACATAAACACTGAGCACCCCTATCCCCAGCTTCCTGCCTATTAGGTGTTTGTTTTTCCTAGATTTTTAAAACCACTGGGAAACCTTTTCAGTGACCTGTATTAGTACCTAAACAAAGACAGAGAAAGATGACAAGGACAGAAGAGTCTGAAGAAAAAGGAACCCTGAGAAGGTAGTTACGGCTCACATAGCATGCAAGCTCCAATACCACCAGGGTGCTGGACACGTGGACTCAACGCCACACTTCATTCTGAGGGTGTTTCTTCTGTCCGCCTGCCCTTGACAACAGTCAAGAATATGCCCTAAATGTGGACCAGGAAAAGCAGACACGTCACCATTCTTACTTCTGGGCTCTCGGCCATGATTCCTGCCCTCTCCCTTTGGCTTTCACTGAAATGGCTTAAGCTGATGCTCTGCAACCGGCTTGGGAGAGGAACTCAGAAAACTAGGTCCACTTCTTGAACTACTTGAGTGCCCAGGAGATTAAACAAAGCACAAAGGAACCCTCTCTTCTTAAGGTGGCATGGCTTGGGAATCCAGGACTGAAAGAAAAGTTCGTTCTTTTCAGTGCCAGACCTTAAACAGCCCGTGCTGCTGGCTGCTGCTGACCTGAATGACTAGGGCAGCAGGAGACAGCAGGACAGCAGCCTGCACCCCTGCCCTCCAGGAACCCCACTGGGTCCCCGCTCCCTGTGCTCCTACAGCCAGTGGGCTGAGGGAGGCCCGTGTGCACTGACTGGCTCTGGAGAAAAGGAAAGAAAACTTCCAGCAGCTGAATGCTTCCCGCACCTCCTCTCCTTTATGCTCTGACAGAAACCAGAATGCAGCTCTGTAAATTAAAAATCTGTTAATCCTTGACTCAGATGCTGAGCATTCCTCAGATGACTGCGACTTTGCGGAGGGAAGGACAATGCTTTAAAAATAGCCCACAGAAGCTGGTCCCACTCCTGTGACTGCCTTTGCCAGCCCAGGGGAACCCCTTTGCAGGCTCTGCCTCCCCTCGCTGGTGTTTAGGAGAAAGGGAAGAAGGCGGAAGGGGCAGCCCTGTTAGCCAGGATGCTTGCAGATCTGCTATACTCCACTATTAAAGGAGAAAAGGTGATAAAGATAATAAAGACCTTGCTCTAGGCTTCAAAACTACATTAATTGTCCCCAGAACGTCTCATATTACAGACGAAGAGCAATAACCTGGAAACATAGACTGTCTCTGGTATTTGGATCAACCCGGTTTAGTGTCTGAGGTGAGGGAATTAGAAGAGCGAATGTCTTGCAAGCAATTAGTTTCTAGTCTTCACTTTCTATCATTGTCTGTTTCTCTCTTGGTGCTACAGTCTCACAGTAACCCTAATCTGTGCTCTATCACCCTATTCTGAAATCTCTATAATTCTCTAAAATGTGAGAGAATTGTCTTTATGGATGAGAGAGGAATAAAAATTAACACCTGAATTCCTTGCTGATAATATATGCTAATGATCCTAGCCAGATCTTAGCTGCTCAAAGGGTCAGACTCAGAAGGAACAAGGTTTAGTTTTAAAAAATTCCCACTATATTTTTCTTTATATAAGTGGTTTTTCTTAATTCTCTTTGTTGTTGTTGTTGGTGACTAAGTAGAGGGGGTTAATAGGTGGCAGATCAAAGAAAAAAGGGAGAAAGAATGACCTTGGATGTTACTCAGATCAGCTCCTGATTAAATTAGCTCTCTGTACAGGACATTAAAGTGATAATTACCTAGTTCCAATTTAGATAATCATTCCATTTATTATTCCCATTTTTAAGCAAAATAAAATGTTAAAATCTTTTGATACATCATCATTTTCTAAAAACATTCATTTTACCTATGCTGTGCTCTTTAACTCTCCCTTCATTCATTGCTTCAGAAATGCCTTAGTTTCCCCATGCCTTTTTTCTGATAGTTCCTAGCTTTGGCCCCTTCCAATGCCACCTCTTTGGGAAGTCAAGGTGACTTCTACTTCTAATCAGTGTTATTCAGTGTGGCTGAGAGCCTCTGGCAAAGGTCACAACAAGTAACCTGATTATTAACATTTTCTCAGCAGGGGAGGTGAGGCAGGTACAGGCGGTCAGAGCCAAACCGATATGATGGGAGAACAGACGGGATTTGAGAGGGACCCATTTCAATGGGTAGCAACATGGCTGCTTGATTTGGGTCTGGGAACAGCCCAAGGTGGTCGTGGCCCCTCCCATCAGGATGGTCAGCTCAGCCTGTTTACTTCTTCATCAGTCAGTCAATCACTCTAGAGCCCCACCATTCTGTAAGCCCCACCTACCCAGACTATTCGCAGGCAGTAATAAACAGATCAATCTGAACCTTGAAAAATCAGTCTAGACAAGCAAAGACGCACACAAATCACTTCTGCACAGTTCTAATCTCTTGGTTTCCAGACTCCCATTTTATCTGAGCATAAACTGACCTTAAAGCATCAGAGAACATATGCATACTTTTAAAAAGGACATTAACATATCATCTACCTACCTTTCCGAAAACTAAAACATCTTTTGATTCTTCTGTATGTAGTTTTAGGAATGAAAGGAGTTGACGCTAAGGCACCTGAGGGGCGCCCCCCCACATTTCGGTCTTCAGGCATCATACAGGCCCAAAGTTCTGACAGTCTCAGCTTCCTTTAAGACCTGCCTCGGTAGGATACCCCACAGCCACTCCTTCTCATGTTTGTTTATTTGTCAGGTCTTAAGTGCTGACTCCTACAACTCATAGGTTTTCATCCTCCAAGTCCTGAAACAGGGGTACGTTACCACCTCTCATTTACTTCTTTTTGGCACAAGAAAACACACTTCCTTTTCTCTTGCCTAATCCAGAGAGTTTTTAAGGATTTTCTTTTTTTTTAAAAATTTCTGCAGCCATTCCAAAATAGCACAGCAAAAAGAACCGCAGCAAGCAAGCTGCGCCTCCCATTCAGACAGCAGGATTTTTGTTTTTTTTATTAAGAACTGTCTTCTCAGCTGGAACTGGGGGCACTGAGATTCTTCGGGAAAGGTCAGCAAATAGCCATGTGCAAGGGGACAGAGCAACAGTGACAAACAGGACCCTGAGGAATGCGTCAGGGCCGTCCTTGCTGGCTCCTTTCCTCTGAGCAACAGGGGAGGCAAATAATGGCACCTTCTCCAGAACGCACTTCAGTGCGTGACGGATTCTTTCCAAAGGGCCCCCCTGTCCCTTTTAGAGCACCCCTCATCCTCGGACGCTCTCCGCAGGCTTCTCCTCCCTTTTCCCTTCCGTCTTCAAACTCCGGGGGCTCCCGAGGGAATCGCCACGTCAGAACAGTCAAGTGCCCATTCCTGGAGACGCCTTGGGTCCTCGGAAGAGGCAGCCAGCGCTGCAGGGAGCCTCTCCCCTCCTCCGCGCCCGCTCCCTTTTCTCAATGAGAGCTGGGCGGGAGCTGGCAGGGCTGCGGCTGCCTCGTCACCACTGCTGTGGCTGCTGCTGCCTTCAGTGCCCACTGGTCACATGCAGCAGGTGCAGTCACAACAGTGTGCGGGAGGAGGGGGCGGCCACCCCGCGGTGTGAACCCCTTTTTTCTTCCTTTGACTTTGAGTTGACTTCCTGGCGCTTGTCTGTGCTGCACCTTTCCAGCCGGCTGGCTGCATCATTCCCTCCAGAGATCCAACAGCACCGAGCCACCCCCAAGTGGGCAACACGTTTGCCTCTTCCTTCCTGTATCTATTCTCTTCCTGTACAAGGTTTTTAAAAAGCATGCTTTGCAGTTCAATCTACGTGTGAGTGCTGATTTAAATGTTCCAGTCATTAAAACATGTGATGTGTATGTATTTGTCTGTGAAAGAGAAAATATCCTAAATCTAGTGACAAAAAACCTGCAGGTATAACCACAAAACAACTCCATTCATATGCATGCACATTTATGTATAAATATATTTCTCTGGTTATGGTTTGAAAACCAATCCTGTTTTCAACTTTCTCCCCTGCTCTTGTAGGCACCCTCTGCACCCAGCCGCCAGGTCTACCAACCCTCTCCGTCCCACTCACTGAGCAATTGACTCCTGGGTTAATCATTCATCCACCTGGCTATTCCAGGTGCAGATTTGGAATGCCAGTGCTTTAACCCCAGCTGACCCCCAGGCCTCTGTGTTCCTTCCTAGCCATTCAGCGGGAGCTTTCCAAAATTGTGAGGACTCCTAATGAGACACTCCCTTCAGAAAAATCATTACTCCAGGCCCAGGTAGGAATAGTTTGTCACTGAAGGGATCATTCTCAGTTATTCATGCCCTATGGTTCAAACATAGTTCTCAGCTCTGTGTCACAGCATGCGGCTAGGAAAATAGGAAGTCACAGAGTAAAGCTCAGTACTACCAAGCCAGTGGCTGGGCTGGGCTGGGCTGGGCTGGGAGGCGCCCTGGGCCAGGGAACACTTCGCTGACCTCAGCACTGGCAGGAGAGAACATGTGGAATCACAGGACTGGAGCTGGAGTGAATCCTAGTAAAAACAGTGTCATCCAATTTTCTTATTTCACAAATGAGGAAACTAAAGGTGAGGGGGTCACTTATTCAAGACCACACAACCGGTCTGTGACAGAGGCCAGACCACAGTGCCTCTTAATTAACCCCTGCTTGCCCACACGCCAATGATTCTTTATGAGGATTATTCACATTCAGCAGTTTTACTGCCTTGATGGGTCTCTGACTCAACTCTTTTCATAAGATACAGACATATACAGGAAGCGCCTGGATTCATTAGTAAAGTTAGGCTAATCACGCAGATCTCACTCCGCAGACCCTGGGTGAGGCATTTCCATATACCCTGCTTCCAAAACATTTGAAAAGAAACCCAGTGTAAAACAAAAATAAATAAACAAACCCCCTAAACTTTTCCATAGCTAAATCAATGTCTTGACATTCCAACTTTGGGATTTGATTGTCAGGCAGAAATGATGTGCCTGCCAGTTAGCATTGCTAACAGGCCATCACAGTTTCTGGGAGATTGCTAGCAGATCTCACAAAGTTGAGGCATCTACATTCAATACCAAACTTGGTTATCAGGCTAGGTTGCTCAGAGAGGAGGTCTACTTTACCCATTCCACTAGTTCTCTTTCCCCACCTGGTTAGTTGTTGTCTAAATTGTCCTTATTTAACAAAAAGGAAAGCTCTACATTTTATGATTTTCACTTCACAGTTTTTAATTTCTAGAGATTCAAAGCTAGGTAAGCTCCTCAGGTTTCTCCTCTATTTTAATCAAATGTCTATTATTGGAGTGGTAAGGAAGGGAATATTTTACATGTATATGCAACCTGAACAAGGATAAGCTTAGGTGCCTCATGAAAAACATTAACTTTTTAAAAATGCAGTTTGTGAAACTGCAATACAGTCAATAAAATGCCCTCTCTGTAATAGACATTTAAAATATATCCAAAGGTAGTATACAAAAATCGATAAACCAGGGAGACATGTCACCTTCCAAATGCCATTTAATCAATGACAACACCAATCTTTGAGTGGTGGGAAGGAGGTTGGAAGTCATAGAGGTCTTCATTTAGGATCAACAGGGCCATAGGTTCCATACAAAGACAGGAGGGGAAATGTATTCTCTTATGTAAGGTATTCATGGCAAAACCCTTTAAAAGAGCTTTATTGAATTATCATTCACATATCATAGATTTTCCCATTTAAAGTTCACAATTAGATGGCTCTTAATATACTCTCAAAGATATATGAAACCATCATCACAGTTAATTTTAGAAAATGTCATTACCTCCAGAAAAGATCTCATATCTTTGGCTATTTTCCCTCTATCACCCTCTTATTCTCCCATCCCAGCCCTAAGCAACCACTAATCTATTTTCTCTCTCTATACTTAGATTTCCCAGTTCTATACGTAACATGAATGAAATAATGTGATATGTGGTCTTTTGCACCTGGCTTCCTTCACTTAGCATCATAGTGTTTTCAAGGTTCCTTCATGTTGTAGCAAGTGTCAGTACCTCATTCTGGCTGAATGATAATCTATTCCATGGATGCTAGTACATTTTGATTGTCTATTGTCCACTGATGAACATCTGAGTGTTTTCACTTTTTGGCTATTAGGAATAATGCTGCTCTAACTATTCATGTACAAGTTTCTGAAGGACATATGTTTTCATTTCTCCTGAGAGAAATAAAATGTTGGGTCCTATTGTAACTATGTTGAATCATTTGAGGAATTGACAGACTTTTTCAAAGCAGCTGCATGATTTGACAGGTCCATCAGCAATGTAGGAGGGTTTTGATTTCTACACATCCTTGCCAATACTTATTATCAGACTTTTGGATTCTAGCAATCATAGTGGGTGTGAAGTGGTATACCATGGTGGTTTAGACTTGCAGTTCCCTGATGATTAATAACTGCATACCACCTTTGGATTGAGCATCTTTTCATGTGCTTATTGATCATTTGTATATTTTTCTTGGAGAAATGTTTATTTAGATTCTTTGTCCATTTTTAATTGAGTCAAATTAGGTCCAAAACTTGATTTGTCTTTATTATTGAGTTATAAATGTTCATTATATATTTTGGATACAATGTATAATTTGCAAATACTCCCATTCTATGGGTTCTTTTTGCATTTTCTTTTTTAAAAATATATTTTTATTGATTTCGGAGAGGGAGGGAGAGAGAGAAACATATCAATGATGAGAGAGAATCATTAATCTGCTGCCTCCTGCACACCCCCTACTGGGGATCGAGCCCACAACCTGGGCATGTGCTCTTGACTGGAATCAAACCTGGGACTCTTCAATCTGCAGGTTGACACTCTACTGAGCCAAACCAGCTAGGGCTTTTTTCATTTTCATGATGGTGTCAATTCAGGTATTTTTGGAAAACTCTATTCATTCGAATCATCACACTTAAAAAAAATACTTTTGCTTTTAATATAATGAAGAATATACTATCAATGAAGCATGGACTTGTAATTGTGTTTTTGTTGTTGGGTTGTTGTTGTTGTTGTTTTTCTCCCACAGTAGAAGTAAGAGATCACACTACTGGGATTATAAGCAGGAGGAAGCTCACAAGTCAGGAGACCTGGGTTTTCTTCCTGGTTCTGTTACTCCCAGAATGCCACTTATCAAATTAGTCCTCTACCCAAGGTCTTAATGACCTAAGCCATAAAATGTGGGGTTGAACTAAAACAGTGGTTCTAAAATATTCTTACTGAGGGGGAAACTTATTTTCAATTAAATGTTAAGTGAAGCCCTAATATGTAAAATAAGTGGATTTTCAGTTATATAAATTTATTATTTGAAACTCAAATTTATAATATTTCTGTATAATTCAGTCAATGAGCACAGGGGGATGATACTGATGCAAACATTTGAGACCCATGAATATGGGTGGCAGTTGGAATCTTCTATCACTGTCAATATTTAGTTCAGTTCTATACTCTGTCTTAACTTTAGAAAATTCCTATGTTTAGATAAATCACAAAGGATTTCTTGCAAATTGAATGAGTGCTTTAAAAGTTTGCTTTGCAATCTCATGATACTCTTCAATTAAACAAAGAGGGCAGAAGATTTATTTTTTTTTGGTGCATTGTTTCTGTGATAAGTACTCTATGCCAAAATATCTCTCTTGAAAAGTAAATTTGAATCAAGCATTCATAGAATAAAGTATATAAGCCAATCATCTACTAGAATATACCTTCCAGGTTCATAAATTTGAAGATTCATTTATAGCTTTTGCCCAGTCCCATTGGGATCATTTCTGATACTCTTGGGCTGATAGGACCTCTTATGGTCACTGATTTGGCGAAGCTTGCTGAATCGCATTCATTTTTCTTGAGAAAAGGACAGACAGAAGAAGAGGAAAGGGAGAAAACAGCACAATTGATGGAAATAATCCCTCATCTCAACAAAAATACCTCCTTCAGCAGATATGAAGGATTCTCCTGAACTAAGACACTCAGAAATCTCATAACAGAGGGTCTCCTGTTTTGAAGGTAGACACATTCTCAGGCTCCCCACAAACCCATAGCCCTGGAGGTACCAGCATACCGCCAGTAGTGAAGTATGGATTTCACATGGATAGTCATGTGAAGATTCTCTGATAAGGCACTGGGGTAGGGATCTCAGCCTCATACTCCTTTTTGAATGTTTTTCATAGTGGCTTTGCTCACCAGACATTTTAGTATATGAATAGGGTGGCCATATAAGTTGTCACCCAAACTGAGACACTGTGAGAGTGAGAGGTAATACTATCAATCATTAGCCTGAGACAACAGTTGTAAACCAGGCTGTTGCCAGGCAAACTGGGGTGAAGGGTCATCCTGGTTAGGAACCAGGTTCTCCCCAACAGAAGACAGTGCTAAAGAACAAACAATTGTCAGATACGTATCACCAATCTGGCAAAATATCAATATGTCTTCAATGAATCTTTACTAGTTTAACCTCAACCTAACTTTTTAATTTTTAAATGAAGCTTTTGAAATTTTTTAAAAATGTAAAGTGGTTAGTCAACCTAAGGAGCCTCTGATATGTTAAAGGGAAAAAAATCACTTCTGAATGCAGGGTGCTGACAATACGTAAGGGAATATAAAACAAATATGGAAACTGTAATGGTTTTACTAAATATGAATTATTTAATACAATTTGTTTAAACAACAGCAATATAAAATAATTAGTCTGTACATTCTTGGAAACACGTGTTGATTATAAATGAATATTTTGGGGTTCTTATTTTATTGGTTCCATTTACTGAATGTTTAAATTATTTTTCTGTCCATATTATTCTATTTTATATTCCTTGACAGACGAAGATCATTTCTGTCACCATTTCTTTCTCCTTTTAGTTCTATTCATAGCACCATTTTATTTATTCTTCATATGGTAAACTCTCAACCCTGTATTAACTAAAATTTTTTTACAAACTTATTATCAAATCCACAAACACTTCCCTGATTACAAAGCATTGTTTTTATCCCCATATTCATCAGGTTTTCATTCAAAGCTTTGCCATTTCTTTGTTATGTTATTGAACATCTGGCGGTTTGGGATCTCTTCTAAAGCTACTAGTCATTTTTTTTTTTTGCCTCATATCTACATGTTCTTAACTAATCTACTTTGATGGTATCAGTCTCATAACTATTTATTGTTAGTGAACATAAAAATATAATCCCTCTTTATAATTCAAGATATTCATGGAAGGTTGGTTATTAGTGATATTGCCTCAATGAAACTTCCAGTAGTTACTTAGATATGGGTTTAGCCATAACAGAATAGTTTACTATTTATTTTAACATTTAACTTTTTGAAAATAGGAGATAATAGTCATATTAGCTGGAGGAAAGGATGGACAGGTTTGGTCTACTTCTCCGTTTTTCCATGACTTAAAAATATACTCACCTCCTCCAAAAGGGCCCCATATGACGCGGCGGATGGACTTCACCCAGTCTTCCATATCATGCTGGGTGCCCGCCATGAGGAGGTAGCTCTCATGATTTGCTGTCATCCGTTCTCGATCGCCTCCTGTAAGAAGACAGTCACACATGAGAGTGTGCACAGCCAAAGATTCCCACCAGCAGCCGCCTAGGGAGTTCCTGACACACAGACTGTGCCTAAGGCAGCCAGCACTACGTTCTACCCAATGAATTGGAAATATTTACCATGATTTCAGCATGGGGAAAAAAAAAACCCGCTTAAAAAGGAAAGACTCTTATGTTTCCAGGGGAAAGCTGGAAAATAAATGCCATTCTCCAAACAAAGCCTGCCTTTTTGTCCTAGCAACAACCCATAGGCCTGCCTTAACTCATCAGCCGGTCTATGCACATTGCACTGCTGAATAGGGAGAAACAGCAAAAGCAAAATGAAAGATGGAAACGTGATCTGCAGAGCCTGGGATTTTGTCTGAAGAAAGTGCATGCACAGCGAGGCCACCAACACCTCATGGGTGAGCTGGGGAGTTCTAGGAAAGCAAAAGAGCCACATGAAAAACTTTTGACCCCGAGGTCCCCCTCTATCACTCTGTCCTGGCAGGAAAGCCTTCCCCCGAGATCATACCTCCAGGAGGGCAAAGAGGAGAGAAGATACAATGCTGGCCAGTCACAAGGCCAAACCAGTGCCCCCACCCCTATGGGCCTCACACTGAAGAGTGAGATGTAGGAAACCCCAGTGGTGCCTCCATGCAAAAGGTTGGTGGATTGATCATTTAATTTTCACTAAGTGTTGCAAAATGTGCAGCCTTGAGTTGAATCAATTCGTGTCCAAGTGCTTTGTTTTGTTAAGACTGCTGCTGTTTGTTTGTATTAAGATGCATCTCTATTCCTTTATGAGGAGCTTGCAGACTTCAATTTACAACACTGCCTTTTCTTTCACATCCAGTCTATTGCCCACATAGCTCTGAAAGCGACAGGCATTTGAGTTTGTGACCTCTGAATTCTATACAAATGCCCTAGGTTGAGAAATACAAGTATTTTACCACTGCTTCAAATTTATAGAACAAGTGAAAGGTTAGAGAAGTGAAATAACCTTAAGCCAACCAAAGAAACAACTATATTGGTATTTTACATTTTAATACTACTGGGTGGAAATGGGGGAGGTACCAAGGGACATATCAAATAGGTTTCCTAATATCTACAGATCTCTGGAATAAACAAGACTAGCCATCTCATATTTTAAAGAACATCTCACTATTAGGGAAACAATGACACTCTTATACCTTTAGGTGTATGCTAGGTCAACCATCACTTTAAACAACTTTTATCTGAAAAAGCATAGGTTCAGGAATTAAAAAAATAAAAACCTCCTAACCCTAGCCTAGTAGCTCAGTTGGTTAGAATGTCATCCCCATACACCAAGGTTGTGGGTTCAATCCCCAATCAGGGCCCATACAAGAATCAACTAATGAAAGCATAAATAAGTGGAACAACAAATCGATCTCTCTCTCTTTATTCCTCTCTCTCTCTCTCAAATCAATACACAGTAAAAAATTTTTAAAAAAGAAAGAAAACCCTGCTGAAATTGTAATTCTATCTTATATTAGCTTTTTGCCTTCTGGGAAATTATATAATTTCTGGAAACTCTCTATTTTGAAATAATAATCCCTATATAATAAACTTTCATGAGAATTAAATGCAATAAAGTAAAAATACCAGCACTATGTTAAGCTAAAAGAGAAATTCTGTAAATATTAATTCGGTCTCATTTTACTGTCTCTTATCCCTAAAAATGCTAAAAGGACATATTACACTTAATTTGAACTGAGAGATATTATGTCTAGTAAGTGCTTGAGAACAATTTGTCAATAGTACACATATCCAGGGATTTTTAAAAGGCTACCTCTCTTTGATACATAACAATACACATAAATTGTGTCCTGTATATGTGTGTAACTATGCCATACATTAGTATGCATATTCATGGTTGTATGCCACAGAAAGCGGCAGAAAAAACTGAATGACAAAAAAAGGTGCATCATTTAGCATGGCACAGAACTATAGATTTAGTTTGCATTCTGATCCACTTACACTACAGCACTGGGCCAAAAAAAAAATTACCATTTGAAGTGAGAATATTTTAATTATTCTCTTTGCCAGAAGGATGGTTGGCAATTCAATTTGGACAGCAATATCCTGCTGTGTCACTCCCGGCCCAGGCAGAAGCAGCCTGGTAATGAGAGTGAGTGACAGCGGCTGCAGTGTTTCTGCCTGAAAGCAGAGAGAAAAGGAGAATGATGAGCACAACTGGCCATTATCCCCTGACTTTTCATGTGATTCTCTGTCTCTGAGGGTGGTGCTGTGTGTCTCACCCTAAAGCTCATTTAGACTGCCAATCACAGGTATGACAGCCCATCTGTGCATTTCACTCATGGATATAGAGCTTCAAGCCTTAGCGTATTAGCAAGAGAGGGGGAAAGACTAAGGAAGAAAGTCTTAGTCTCAGTGAGAATGCAGACTCATTGGTAAGAATGCGATGAAAACAACTGGAGACATTTATGTAGATATAAACTAGATATTCTGTACTAAAAATATGTGATTTCTAACTGGAGATGCTATCTGTTCTAATTCACAACCCTTCAGTTCTAAAGGCCTGCTTCTGGTACTGCACCTCACAATGGAAGGGGCTCAAAAACAACTTATTAAATACATGGTTAAATAAATGAATAAACTCAATATTGACTTCCAACCATGTGAATCAAGTTTTACTCTTGGTTAATCCTTTATGGGGATTAATGATCCATTTAACCATTGTGAATCTCAAATTCTTTCCAAAGGTAAAGTTTTAAAAAGCAGCTTTGAGATTTATCCCTGGAGGGAGTGTCATTGTCATCTTCAATCCACATACATGTATGTATCTGTATGTTTATGTCTATATTATAGCCATTATACACTCTCCATTCTTAAATTCTGCTTCAACATAAATTCCTATGTAGTTTTATTTTTAATACTGCTTTCTATGAAAGTGGATTGTACACATTTTAAAGGACACAATGTATTGGTAAATTATATATAACTTTTAGATATTAACTCAGATTGGTAGCAATGCTTTGGTGATAATATTAATACTTCAAGCATTTGTGATTTGAAGTTAACTAAGTAGGTTACACCATTTAATTTTACTTGTTTATGTATGTAATTGAAAGGATTTGTACATTTCATTGGGATCTTCTGTATATTTGGATTAGATATAAAATTTTCTTTCCCAGAAAGAAAACATATTTTCTGAAATAAAATAAATAATTGACAGGTTTGATTTTGCAAAAATTTAAATAAGATTAAGAAAAGTTTCATGAATTTAATAGACTAAGAAAAAGTTTAATCTAATATTAAAAGTCAGGCTAAAGAAAATTACATTAAAATAAAAGCACAGTTAATTAAAAACGGGAATACAAATATCCATTAATTATATGAATAATTACAAAATAATATTTTAAAAATAGCTTTTGATAAACAACTTTGCAAATAATTTATTATTATTATTTGTTTTACTCCTCACCCATGGATATGTTTTAATTGATTTTTAGAGAGAGAAGAAAGGGGAAAGAGAGAGAAACATCGATGTGAGAAACATCGAACCTAAACCCTAGGTATATACCTTGACCAGAAATCAAACCTGTAACCATTTGGTGCATGGGACAATGCTCCAACCAACTGAGACATTGGACCATGGATGCAAATACTTTTTTAAATTTTTAAGAGAAGTATTGGAAATGGTGTTCCAACATATACATACTCATAGTTTATAGGAGTATGAATAATATTCCTTATAATGCAGTCACTAAATTAGGGTTTTAAAGAATATTTGTTAATATGAGTTTTTATTACACAAAAGGAAGTATACAAACTTTATATATATTATCTCAATTTCCATATAAGTAGACAGCAGATAAATAAGATACTAGATTGAAATACACAATAATGTTAACAATGGTTATCTCTAAATGTTAGGATTAGAAAAAATTTTTTCTCTTCTTTTGTTCTTTTCTACATTTTCCAGATATTTACCCATTTGTTGTTACATAATACAGGTGTTTTTTTCAGATGTTCTACCATATATTATTTTATTATCATAAAAAATTATTGAAAAGAACAAATGATAGGAATCATATAGTCAAGAAAGCACTAATAAAAAAAGCCAACATGAGCTGAAGATAATTATCATTACCCTCACTGAGTGTTGCCTAAGCTGGCTCACTGTGAACTCTCACTAATTTTCCTCTAACCTTCTCCCTCTCTCCCCCACGCTGACCCAGAGCATTTCCCCAAGGGAAGGTTTGGGACAAGAGACCAGTGTTGCTCAAAGTGCAGAAGACACCAGGTAACTGGGACCTCCTCAGTACAAAGGGGGCTGCTACTATTATGTGTATTACCTTTCTTAAAAAAATATCTAAATAAATATTTTACTGAATTTATTGTGTGGAAATTTCCAAAAAAATAGTCACCAAAACAGGTTTGTTCTTTTTTTTTCTATGAAAATAATTATTGTAAATTGTCAAAATTATGAACTACAAAGCCAAACAATTACTTAGAAGTGATGTATTTATATGAGTGTCATCTTGAGTAAACAAACCTTTAAAGAGATACAGAGAATTACTTGTTTGTATTTGAATTTTAAAACAACTTGCTCCAGGGAAACTGTGGTCATAGGCATTTGGGTTAGTTTCCAAACAGTTCATGAACAGACCTGAGGACCTTTCAGCGAATACCTCTGATACTGTTAATAATTTCAAGGGTGAACTGTTTCCTCATTCCCAGGTACAAATCAGGTTAAACCAGACCTATTATACTCTGTTTTATTATAGTTAAGAGAAAACTATTTTAATGTTCTAAGTTGGGTTATTAAATTTCACTCATACAATTGCAAAGTCTTTTTTTTTTAATTTAAGCATTACTTTTCTCAAAACTTAGTTTAGGTCTTTATTGGTAGTAGAACTCTAATGATAAATTGCAAGATATAAAGTAAATTCTGAAGCATATCAGTGGAAAATTACTGAGATGGAAAAATACAACTTTTCTTTTATGGAAACTGATACTTGGAAAACAATCAGTTACATGAAATTATAAGCTTCTATGGATAGTATCACTTCTTAATAAATAATAACAATCAAAATAATAAAACAGCACATAAGTTATAAAATAAGGGCAGAGAAAAATGGGTGTCACATTCAATATCATATTTAGTTTTTTCATATTGTTTTGGGTATTATAGAGATATTATTATTTGAAAATTAAGAATGTTGGTGTGTTTTCCCAATTAAAATTTTTCCAAGTATGTCTTCCTCAAAGGTTAATTTCAAAAATATCAGAAGGGCAAAATTTCAGTATAATCGAGTTATAATCCATAATCCAATGCAGAAAAGTTGCATTACTCTAAAATTAGATTTTTGAATATTTTAAAATCCCTAAACTAGAATATGAGAATTAAGAGCCCAGTGGCATTAATAATTGTTCTGTTTGTATTTTGTAGTCAGTACCACACACTAAACCAATTACTAAATATTATTTTGCATTATAATAAAATTAGTGCTACATTTTAATTTCATGTGTACTTTATAATACTGTTTTACAGATTTCTTATAACCCCATAGTAGTTCATAATCTCTTTGTAAGAAGAAATCATACTATAATATATAGCTAACTTATGTTTAAGGTAAAAATAGCTATATAAATGTTACATTTATACATATATATAAATGCACACTTGTTAACCAGTTATAGATTGATGAGCACTTATTAATTATGATAGATTTCTAATAATTAAATTTAGAAATAATTTGGTTTTTGGAAATCTATCTAGTTGTCTACAGACAGAGAAAGCACTGAACTAAAAATTCTATACTATACTAGTTATTTCTGATTGCCTTGCCTCAAACTTCACTATAAAAAAATCCAAAGATGTGAGCAAAAGTGCTTCCTGGATCAAATTACAAAAATATATACGTGCTTATAAAGAAATACTGAAAAATTACTAAATTGGAACAATGAAACCAGATTCTTCAAGTTCAAATTAGTCATTGACTAGCTGTGAGATCCCTCATCTTTAATTGAGGGTAACAACATCACCTGTCTCATAGCTTTATTGTGAATCAATTGAATGAAAAATTACCACAAAATATGTTGAATTGTACTTGGAACATAGGATGCTCTGCTCAGATTATTATTGACATGCATAATAATGTTAACCCCCTAAATTTTTAATATAGTAAATATTTGTCATTTGAAGTCTTTAAAATGCAGGAAGATAGCTTACCTTTGGGCAAATATTCTGAATATATTTGTAAAGAAAAACCCTTTTATAGGAAAGTAATTATTATTTATTTTTAAAGTAAATATTGATTTTCATATTGGTCATGTTTTTAAAAGCATAATTGTGATATACTTACTTATAAATGATTAACAAAATCTTTAAGACCTTGATAGAATCCTGTAAAATAAAAGGGTAATATGCAAATTGGCCCTAACGGCAGAAAGACTGGGAACGACTGTTCGCTAGGATGCACGCTGACCACCTGGGGCCAGATGCTCAATGCAGGAGCTGCCCCTTAGTGGTCAGTGTGCTCCCACAGGGGGAGCGCTGCTCAGCCAGAAGCTGGCTCATGGCTGGCCAGCGCAGCGGTGGTGGCGGGAGTCTCTCCTGCCTCTGCGGCCACGCTAAGGATGTCCAACTAACAGCTTAGGCCTGCTCCCTGCAGGGCTCCCTGGCTGCCAGAGGGATGTCTGACTGCCAGCTTAGGCCCGATTCCCGGGGGAGCAGGCATAAGCCGGCAGGTGGACATCCCCCGAGGGCTCCTGGACTGCAAGAGGGTGCAGGCTGGGCTGAGGGACCCGCCCCCCCACCATGAGTGCATGAATTTTCATGCACCGGGCCTCTAGTAGTTTATATTTCCACTAATTTTTCACATTTCTTGGACTTATTCTTTCAAAAAAAACTATTTGGCAGAGCACAATTACTATAAAGATGATATAATTTATTACATTTTAGGTATTTGTTTTCCATATTGCACTGGGCCATCAATAAGATCTCAATTTAAGTACTACAATATATTTTGATTTTCACTTATGTCAGAGACTCAGAATCTAGTCACTTCCTTTTCAGCATCTTATTAAATTCTGATTAAAATTCCCAAGAAATAAAAGAAAAAACATTTTCTTGGCAGAGCAAAGGTATCTAGAATTTAAGTCCTCTTCTAATTGATCTTGGCTTAGTTTGGGAGATCAATGAATTCAAAATTTTATCTGATTGCTATAGAAGTCAGACAGGTAGAATAAGTTACCTGTAGAGTCAGATCAGTTTAGTCCAACAAAGATGATACAGACTGGTGAGCCAAGGGAAAGCAAGTCCCAATGCAATAATTTACAACTTGTAATATATGGAATACCATCCATAGTCAAAGAAACAAGGCAGAGTTTGCTGACTTGGACAAATCAAAAATCAAAAGCATTTTTTCTATGAGGAGGTACCTTACTACAAATGATGACTTAAATAATGAGAAATATTAGAAAATTTGGGGTTATTTTTTGATATATTGAAATTTATACTTCCCATGACTATGCCAGTAAACCCTCTATTGCAGTGTTTCTCAAAGTGTGATGCAACTCTAGTCTACATGTCTAGGAAGATAGGAAGCATCTGAGAACTTGTTAAAACTACAAATGCTTGGGCCCAAGCCCAAACCAACCAAATCAGAAACTGGTGGTGAGACCCAGCAATCTGTTCTTTAAAATGCCTGCTATAGGATTCTGATGCAAGCATAAAGTTTGAGAACCACCCTTGTAAGAGAATTTGCTCTAATAGGCAGAGGCTATACATTTTAGAATCCATGTATTTCAGCTACATTCATCCTATTAGCTTGTATCCATGTTTTATTCTTTCAGTCATAGCCAGCCAGCCAGCCAGAAAGTACTAACTTTTAAAGCTAGGGATCATATAACTTATCTAATTGCTTATTTGCATTGTAAATGATTAACACTCTGCAACTAGTTTTGCAAGGACATGTCATTCAAGTTGGGATTATGGAGTCTAGCAAATTTGTGGGCCTCATGCATTAAAGATACCATACTTAATCAGAGCAAACATTTCTTTTTGTATTTAAATACAGTGTCAATATACGTCTTCCCCTGACACCCAGAGTTTGATGAGTGAAATAGAACACTAAATTTGGGGAGACATGCCACTCTTGAAGATCTAGATTAGAATGCTGAAATCTATTTTAAAAATCTCCTAGTATCCCACTCCTCTTATTGTTTTTGAATAGTACAAACTTGAAAGATTAGTGATAATATCAGTTGACACTGCAGGGTGATTTACATTTTACAAATTACTTTTATATTCCTTTATTCATTTGGTTTTACAATAACCCTGGGACGTAAAGCAGAGCACTCATTCATTTATCCCACACATATTTACTGAGCACCTGTATCGTGCCAGTTATTATTCTAGCTTCTCAGGATATAGCAGTGAACAAAACAAAGGCTGGAGTTTAGAAGTGAGGTCTGGATGGCAGATACAGTCATCAAGGTGATAGTATTTTAAAACATGAACTTGGATGGGGTCTCTTGGGAATACTGTAGCAAGATAAAGTTCAAGTGAACTCCAACATTTATAGACTGAGAAGAGGAATCAGCAAAATAAGTTGAGAAGATGCAGCCAGAAAGGTAGGAAGAGAAACGAGAAAGGCTGGGTGAAGAAGGTGATCAGGTGAGTCAAATGCTGTTGAGAAGTTAAATAAAGTGAGAACTGAGTACTGACTACTAGATTAGGGAAACAGAGATTATTGGATTAGGCAACATGGAGATTATTGGTGACCTTGAAAGACTGACCAGACTAACACAGAAAACAGAAAGAGCCAATATCAACAACCCCTCTAGGCATTTTAATGTAGAGAGGAGCAGTGGATGGCTCTCAGAGTCATGGGGACAAAGGTGTTTAAGATGAGAAATATCACAGAATGTTATATGCTTATGAATTATTCACTGGAGAGGAAAAAAATGTAGAAGAGATGAGGTGTAAAGATTCATTCACATTTCTTTAATAAAGCTATGCTCACAATCCCTCATGCTCTTCGGAATCTTTAGTAAAATCTGGCAATTAACATAATTGATTTCTGCCAAAAGTTTGTTAACAGTTTGTTAAAAATATGTAAAACATCTAGGAGATATTGAAAACAAAAGAACTAGTACTGAGCAGCTCGTAAGTTTCTTCACAGGTCTGCCTGGGGGCAAAATAAGGAATGGTGTTAAATTCATAAATCATTTTTCAAAACTAAATTTTTTTATATTAATTTGGACACAATTTTTAATATTTGTGCAATAGGAGAT